GAGAGAATGCAACTACCAATATTGGAAGGCACATAAAACATTATATGAAAATTTACCGTATCCACTCAGTATCCATTTTATATTTCTAAAGAATTTGTCGTATCCATATCGTGTTTGTGTCCCTATCTTGTATTCGTTTCCATTCCTCGTATATAGAAACTACATGCGGTGGCAAAATGGATCAAAATTTCTTTTTGTTTCCATAGTAACGATGGAACGTTTCCATTTCCTAATGAAATAAAACAACATTGGTGGGAAACCATAATTCACAAGTTCCCATGAAAGCAAAGGTTGTTTTATCTAAATATACCCATTGAAGGATTTAAATATTTAAGTTACACCATCCCAAACAGCTTAATCTTTTAGAGTAGACAGTAGTTAACATGGTATCAGAGCCAACTAAGAAGCATGGACACGGATACGACACTACACGGACACGGCAAATCCAAAAAAATTAGGACACTAACACGACAGGGACATGGCGAATAGGATATATATATATATAAAATATATATTATGTAGTATTTTAAAAATTACTGAGTTTTACTATTTTTCATCAACCTCATAATGAAAAAAATACACCAAATCATAACTCATCTACTGTAATAGTGCAATGATTGGCCCTTAAATATCTATTTGTTTTGTCTAAAATTGCATATTAACCTTACAAGTTTAAAATTATTATGTACTGACCACATTAGTGAGTAAAAATTGTTAAATAACTTCACATATTTATACTTTAACCCAATTTTCTTTAAAAAATTATCTTTTAGGCCCCCGAAAATAAACCACACGTGTCGGACACACCCCCTTGGCGTGTTGGACGCGTGTCCACGGAGTATCCGTGCCCTGTCCGAAAATTTAAAAAAATAAAAAATTCCAGACACATTTTTTGGTGTATCCGATGCGTGTCGATGTCCGACACGTGTCGGACACGGATTCTTTGCCTATTTTGGAGTGTCCGTGCTTCCTAGGAGCCAAGGGAGTTCAAACCTTACCGTCACCCCGATAATTTAAAATTTGAAACACACGTTGGACCAAAAAGAATGCCATGCATGGGGGCGTTTTGAAAGATTTAAATACTTAAGTTTCACCCTCTCTAGCAACTTAAGCTTTTAAAGTAAATGGTAGTTAACAATACCAAAGAAACACCCCAAATGATCGAAATGTTTCCTTCATGTTGACAACAATGCAAAAACCTAAAAAGTATGATCCACCTTTTCTTTTCTTTTCTCTAAAGTGAAGAGAGAGATTTAAGGACCAAAATCCAAAAACACAAGAAGATATCTATAGTTGTCATAGAAGAAGTTGAATGAGAGAAAACAGAGAAGTAAGAGAAGTGCTTATTGAAATAATTAGTCTCTAACTAAAGTACACAAACTTGCATAATTGTTCAAATTAGTAACTTATTTAATATGTAACATATGTCGAAATGTAGATCACACGTAAATTATGTAGGCCAGGCCTAGAGTCATAATGTTATGCTTAATAATAGTAACTCCATATAAAAGAGAAAGATCCTAGTAAATAATTCTTTGATATAATTTGATGAATTTTCCCACTGTTATGGAAAGCATGCCTTGGTGAAAAGCAGAGGCACAGTGATGCGCTAAGATTGCACCTGTTTTATGCGCAGGTGGAGATCTCAAACAGACGTGCCACGCCCGCCTACGTTAGCCTTCATCGTATGTGGAGTGTGCCTAAAATTCATGGCTGCATGGGGTTATGTTATTATTTTATTTTGCTGCAAATTCTTTTGCTTTGAGCTGTTAGATGAGAAGGAAAATAAAATGAGATCCCAAAGTCGCCAAAAGCCCCAGGGCCATAACCAATCGAAGCGGGAAGGAAGCACACAGGAAATCGCCTGTGTCAGAATCGCAAATACTCTCTTCTTCTTCTCCTCCTCCTCCTCCTCTGAAATTATATACATATATATATATATATATTTGTGTGTGTGTGTGCGCAGTTGTGTAATTAATTTTTCAATTGAATTGAAATAAATTATTCTTCCTACGGATATATTTTGTTAATGATTACTTTTGAATTATTCTTTACCATTTTATATAATAACAGAACAAAAAAATTCTGTATAGGCTCTCAGTAATCCATTATTTAATTACCAAACAATTGTGTCGTGAATCCTCTGTAACTCTGTTTTCCTTTTCTCAACCATAGATTCTGTGTACTTGTGTGTGCTTTTCTTCTTTTTTCCCTTCTCTGCTTTGTATTTTTTTTTTTTTAAGTCCATTCCTGATAATGCAAAGATGCATGCAATTGACTGCTGCATATGATGTTTGCTGTTTGAGTTGCATTCCTTTTGCATCTCCACTTTCCCCATTATATATTTTTGCTGCAACATAACAGTGCTGCCAGCTGCATATATGCAGTGTCGTTTTATATTTTGAAGTGTTTGATGCAATTTGCCTTTTGCTTCACTCAGTCTTGCGCCTCCCCTTGCGCCTTGCCCCTAGGCTCCAGGAGACCTTTGGTGCCTTAGCGTGTCTTGAGAATTTAACAACTACAAAAAAATTTCCACATTTACATTAACTCTTTAGTTCCCCCTTGGTGTCTGCTTGTGCGGATGAAAAACATTCAGTTAGTTAATTACTTTGCTCATCTCCAAGCCTTCACATATTTACTTTATGGTTGAAATTGTTTCCATGCATTTTCAATTTTTCTCCCTATATCTATCAAATTTTTGAAATTATTTCTGTTTTTCGGATTGATCAAGATGACACTCCAACATGAAATTTTGATCCTCCAGTGTCAACAACACAGAGAGATTTTTTTTTTTTGACAAGTGTCAACAACAGAGATAGTTATATTACATTGTTGGTGGGGACCATAATTGATATATGTAAATTCATTCTTAACCCTCATTTGATGTTGATGGGCCAGCTCAATGTAATTTGAGGCCTTAGGCAAAATCTAAAAGTGGTCCTTTAATATTTAATATATAATAAAAGTTAATAGTTTTTACTTTTTTATTTTTTGAATAGATAAGTGTATAAAAACTAAGGGTAGATCAAATTTTTTTTCAATTCCCAATACCTATTAATTGGGGCCTACGAATATAAGATGGATAAAAAAATCTAGGGACCAATATTAATCCATCCTATTGGCTGCTGTGATGAGCAAGGAAAAAAAAAAAAAAAAAAAAACCTCTTCTTTAACAAGGAGAGGAGAAAAAAACGTGAGGAGAGATAAAGATTAATTTTTTTTTTTTTTTTTTTTTTAGAAAAAAAAAAAAAAAAAAAGCATAAAAATTAGAAGTTTTAGTAGAATATGACTGCTCTAATGAGGAGAGGAGGAAAAAAAACATGTGGGGAGATACGAGGATAAATAAAAAAACAAAAGAATAAAAATTAAGAGTTTAATAGACAAGGTAGGAAAGTGGAGAAAAAGTAGGAGGGATGAAACCAATTATTCGTTAGATAAAAAAGAATATAGGATGAATTAAATAGTACAGCCACTTGACGTCTTAGAATATAAGATAAACAAGAATTCTTATGGGCCTATATTAATAGGAATATAAGATGAATAAAAGTTCTTAGGGGCCTATACTAATAGATTCTATTGGCTGGGGCCTTGGGCAACCGCCTAAGTCGCCTAAGGCTCCAGCCGGCACTGGATGTTGATGTAATAACATTTGATGACGTTATGGGATGTAATAACATTTGATGACGTTATGGGGATTGGTATTCTTCACGAAATTAATAGCCTGAACTTTATACTTCATGCACTGCTTGTCAACTATGCATTTTTATTTGCCAATTATTTAATCAAAATCATGCATGGTATCACTATTAACATTTACCAAAATTTTATGCATGTCTATTTAGAAAAATGACAATTTTAGTACTCCCTCCATCCCAATTTAGTTGTCCATCTTTCTTTTTTGAGCTGCCCAAAAATACTTGTCCACTTACTAAATTCAAACAAAATATTTCACATCGTTTCGTAAATACCCTTACAGTTTTAAATAATTTCAAACTTGATTATATATGTATTCGCACTTAAAAGGATAATATAGTAATTTTGAAAGGGGGAAATGCATGAATTGCATATCCCCTTAAAAAGTTCTACTCCCCAAAAGGGACATCTATTATTGGACAGAGGGATTATATGGTTCGATGCGTGGAATAATATATTGTATTTTCTTTTTATTGATATAAAATTATTGGGATCAATACCTTGGTAACTCCAATGGCAATGCGAATAAGAAAGACATACCCATAGAAGTTAACCAAGTCTTCTCCAATAATTATGAAACTAGGACTTCATTGCTGTAAAACATATAGGAAAATTTTTGGTAGTTTCTTGAACATAGAAGTTCCACAAGAGAAATGTTGAAAACAACAGTTGGGACGTAGTGTCATGCGTTAGCAAATTTTATAGTCAAACCCTAACTTATAATCCTGGTTTAAATTCTTGGCACACGATGACTTGGCTGAAGGGGTAATAGATGCACCAAGGACACAGACAAACTCAAAGAAACTCGACCTGATAGGGCTCAGCAATTGCCATTATGTCCGAGTTGACTGTTTTAACGCCAAACAGCCATTCCTACTCCATTTTTTTTTCACATTCTCTCCCTCTAACAGCCTTCTCTTACCTCTAAGCTCATCCTAAACCCTAAAACTCTCCTTCAAAATTTAAAAACACTAGATTTCGGCCTAATATTATATAAAAACCCTACAAGCTTTCAACTAAAGGTAAGTTTTCAGATTTTTCTTTTTTGTTTCTTTACCTAGATCTAACATGAAAGTGCTCATTGGACAAAGATTTAATCGCGTCCATATCTGTGGTCGGGTTAGCAATTTATAATATTGTCATAATTTAAACTTTTAACTTTGTCCTTTTCAAGTTGAGTCCAAAGCATAAAGTTGACCGGTGAGCAATATTTTTGTAGTTTCAAATGATTTTGTTTTACACACACACACACACACACTTAGGACAAGGTGAGTGAAGCCACGAAAGGATGAACTGGATGAACTTACCCAAAGGACTGTTCCATCCCCACCAAGAGTTACAATGAGGTCAACCTTTGTGTGCAGGAGCATAACTTCATTGTCTGCAAAATTGGTAAGTGCATATTTCAGCTATAAATTAAGTGTGAAAACTTTTCACATTGTTAGTGGTCAAAATTATGGGATATAGTAAGAAAGACATATATAATTCTCACATGAATATATAATCAAATTTATCTCAATTTCTCTGGAAAATGGTGTCACTTTGGTTACTAAAAGAAGGGGATAGCATGGATCACACATACACAAAGCAGTAACTAATTTTTGGTGTATTTTTTTTTAAAAAGTAAAATTGTATAAAATAAGCATTCAATAGGGGAACGCATCGCTCAGAAGATACACAAGACCAAATAGGGCCTCTAAATTCTCAGAGTCCAAAAAATCAACTATTTCCTCCATGGAATTATAATTTCTCCCTACAACTTAGCAAAAAAGAGTGCTAATAATGGAGAACTTCAACACCCCAATAGGATTCTCCTTTCCTTCGAAGGATCTCCAATTTCTTCCAAGCCATAAACACCACCAGACGCACAAAGGCGCAACCCACCAAAAATCACGAACATGGGCCCCACTATACAACCTCTCCAAGCCTCAACCAAGATTCTGGAGAACCTGGGCCTAACCCACTGAACCCCAAACAAACACAACAATCCTGAGCCACTGGGCAATGCAAAAGAAGGTGGTCAACCGTTTCCTCATCTCTCTTACACATGTAACAACAGTTAATCACCACTTGTCTCCTCCTCCTCAAGTTATCTTGGGTCAAGATCTTTCCCAACAAGGATGATCACGCAAAGAAAGCCACTTTGAGAGGGGCCTTAAGAGCGCCAAATAGCCTTCCAAGGGAAAGGATGCCTTGGGACATTCGAAAGACACCTGTAGAAAGACTGAACAACAAAGCAACCATAGGAAGAAGGAACCCACACCCAAGAGTCAGAGACACTGACAACAATCTCTTGGCGGTACAATAATTCAAAAAAACCAATAGCATCCTCAATCTCCCAATCCTGAAAATGCCTCATAAAATGCATGTCCCAAAATGTTCTCCCGCTATCAAGACAATAGCAATCAAACACCAAAGCATATTTATCCATGGCAATGGGAGCAACTTAAAAAAAATTGTTGCATACTTCCTGCATTGCTTCGCAGATCGATGCATAAACATGTCAGTAATTATACTACTATGTGGACCTTTTGGCTCCTAGTCAAAGGCCAAACAGGAACCGGTAATTATCAAATGAGTTGTTTTGGAGATCCTTCAGATTCTACCAAGTATAAATTTTAGAAGTTCTTAATGCTTAAAATTGTAATATGTTAATAATATTATCAAGCACTAAAAAACATATCAAAGTTGCCACCAATTCTTATCAGCATAAGTGATTGATTCATTATTCTGATAATAAGATTCATAAAAATACCTAAAAGCAGTCATCTATGTCTTTACAAAACCCGTAATTATCCGCCAATATAAAGGTAAAGAAAGATGTCAATATTTTCTTTTTCTTTTTCTTTCTTTTATGATACCTTTTACTGATAAATCTATTAGAAAGACACCATGGGGTGCACTACTCATGTACAAAACCCGTCTACACATGATGTATATGAAATTACACAAAATTACTCTCATGTCTACTAAAATTCTTATCCGTTATAAGATGAGACTTCCTCATGATTAAAATATCTAAGGCAATCATCATGGAAAATCTTGGTATCTAAATAGGCATTTCAATCCCCCTACAAGGACCACATATTGTATCCCACCAAAACCAAAGAGAGCAATCAGCCAATCATTTCCAACCTTCCTCATTGCTCTACAAGCTCTCCAACTTAAGAGCACCTAAGCAATTGCAAGTGACATAAGCCAATGAACCTAAGATATAAAAGAGCTCACCAGTTTCTAGCCACCAAGTAACAGGTAAGCAAGTTATTCAATGACTCTTCATCCCATCTTCACATACATCACAAATTTAAGATGATTTGCTGTCACATGATCAGGTTTCCAAGGGTAAGGACCTTCCAATTGGCCAAAGAAAGGAACCTTGAGAGGAACTGCACACCAAATCACCCTAAAAGGAAAGTTGTGGTACTTTAACACCCATTAATATGACCACACCTAAATCCAGGGGCAGAGCCAGTGTGTCCCCCGCGGCCGCGGGGGGGGGGGGGGGGAGACATGCCCCCCTTGGCCTGGCCCCACCACCCTATGTATATTATGTTTTTATTTTTATTTTTTACACACATATATAGAAATTTGTATATTATGCCCCCCCCCCCCCCCCTAAAATTATTAGTTTCCAAATTTTTTTTAAACTTTTTCTATTTTTTCTCTTTTACTCTTTAAATTTCTTTAATTACCTTTTTAAAAAGGTTAAATTCCCCTTATTTAATCATGCTCTAATTTGTTTCCTTCAAAAATTCATTTTTCTTACCCTTTATCTTATTCTTATTTAAAAAAAATTAAAAAATTCCCACTATGCCCCCCCGAATTCAAATCCTGGCTCCGCCCCTGCCCCTGCCTAAATCTGCCTCCTCTAGAAGCCCTCCAAATCAAGATATCCCCTTGCCCTTGGCCTAAATATGCTGATCGTAATCCAGAAAGAAAGAAAGAAAAAAAAAAAAAAAAAAAAAAAAAAAAAAAGTTGGCCTCCATCTTCCAAAAGTACAATCTACAATAAATTCAGAATCCCAATCCCTCCCTCCCTATGAAACTGTGACACCATCAGCTACTTGACCTTCCGTATCTTTTGTGATTCTAAACAGTTTTACAAAAATGAGTTTAAAAGGAACCTCGACACACCTGTAGTCATAGCCATAATTCAATCCTTCTCCTATCCCCTACGAAACTTATGGTGATCGTGCCAAAAGATAATCCTTCTGCTATCCCCCACCACAAATCTAGCATGCTTACACACCTGTTCCAACCCTTCCATAATACTCAGGAGTTTGGGCGCAACTTCTTCATATATTGGATTATATTGCTTTCGATTAGGTCCCATGGTTTTCCAACATAAAAGACTTATTTGTCTCGGTGTCTCCTACCATTTTCTCTTTGTTTTATTTTGACTGACTGAACTTGTTAACAGTTTAACTCCCTCATGAGACTACATCTCTCTCAATCTCATAAGTCTCAACCCACAACATATGTACCTATTTATAGAGTTACAAACACAATTCGTTGTTGGACAAGGATTACAATTTCTTAGAGGCCAAGACTTCCCAAACAAGAAATTACCTAATAGAATACTACTCCAAAATATAATACAACTCCAAAATAGGAATTTGAGACGCAATTTCCAACGCTCAGCATTCACATTTGGTAGAGTCAAGGACCTTGGATCAAACTGATTCGTATCATGGATATGGTCTCTAGACTCAAAAGGATTGGGACTTGAACTTATCATATAAATCCTTGAAGTCTTAGAAAAAATGGAATGGAATTGTGCCTTGATTGAACTCAAAAATGGAGTATATATTTTGTATAAGGCCAATTCAGTCAATTGTTCAAGTGAGCTCCAGTCAACTCAAAGATTCCAGTGGCATCTCTTGCTAAACCTTTAAATAGTTAATCGACACTTGACATTTTGTCAATTGACCCACATAAAGCAAAATTAATCAAGTGTTGACTCTTGAAGTCCGCCGTTTGATCCCTTTGGATCAGCATACTGATCTAGGCAAACCAATTGACTGCCTAAAATCTCAGTCGACTATTTGAGACAAAATTTAGATTCTAACGGATAGTTCAGCAGTCCTAAAGTGTACCATTTGTGCCTAACGGCTATATTTCAAAATGTGACCATAAATACACCTTGTGATGGTCATTCCTATAAGACAAGGAGAGAGCATACAGAGAGAAATGTGGAATTCACACCACACATATGGGATACACAAGGGTGTAAGAACAATAGATACTAATATATCTTGATTCCAATTCTACCATTGGAGCATACATTTCATCATCCCTTGTTGGTAGAAGCTACCGTGGAGCTTTATCAATGAATATCTTTCACGGGTAGCACCACTACGGAGCAACATCACTCATCCATTTATAGTGGTTTTGAACTCCTAGATATGAGCTTTCATATGGAATACTTTTGTATTAACTCTAGATGTGCGAGCTTCAAAGTTGTAAATTTGTCTACTAAGAGACATCATTGTAATCCATGTGCTCAAACTCATTCTTTGAGGGGATTGAAGTCCAAGTTTTACTTGGCAATTCAAGCTTGGGTTTAAGCTTGGCAGGGGTGGAATCTCAACCTTAATGAGAGGGATGATGTTTTCTTTTGACCTGCAACAAAGAGAGGGTTACTTCTGAGCCCATAAAAGAGGAGTTTTCCACTTGACCGACAACATGTAATGTAAAGGTTTTGCTCTTCGCCTGCAAGAAGATGCCCAATAGTGGATCGGAGGGAAATCCTCAAGTGGTGTGCTTGAGGCAAGCATGTAGGTCGATTTGCCAAACCTCGTTAAAATCGTTGTGTTAGCTATTCTATCCCTGAACTCTTTACTTACTGTCTATGCATGTTGATTATAAATAGATGTATGATTAAGTATGTTAGATATGTTTAGTTAAGTTGATATGCATGATAGGAACAAATATGTCATGCTAGAATAGTAAAATTAGATTGTATGTTGTATGCATAGTTAATATATGCTTCGACTAGATGCAGGCTATGACTTAATGCTAAAAAAAATATAGCTATGCATAGCTAATGTAACTTAGTTGAGTCTAGACGTTTGATAGGATTATTTATAGTTGAATCTAGAAGCTTGATAGGATTAGTTAATCTTATGTATATTATACGTTCTAGCTAACATATGATTAGCTTAATTTGTATGTGTTGACATATATATATATATATATATATATATATATATATCCATTAGATAATGTACGTGTATTATGTGATTGAATTATAAATAGCTTCATCACAACCAATTCTCAACCAATCAAGCCATAATTCAACCTCAAGAAACTAACTAAACTAGAATGAGTCTAAGCAAACAAAATTAAAGTAGACAATCAATTAAAACACCAAGCCTAAACATCCACCCATCCTAGCAAGCCTAATCTCAAAATCATACAAGTCAACCAACATAGAAACCAACCTTGGCAGTTCACCATTAGATATCCAATTAGGATTCTAGAACCATGGAACTTAACCATTAGGACTTAAGCTAATTCCGCAAAAGAACCTATAGTTTGTCATTGACCAAATTCACACCCCCCTTTAGGGTCAATATTTGGGTAACATCCAACAATCTCCATATCTATACAATTGCCTGAACTCTCAACCTACAATTTACCTATTCATGAAACCTAGATCTTATCGGTGACTAAGCAAATGGCTTTTATTCTTCCAAAGAAGCACTTTCCAAGAAATGCCACTCTCTTGGCATGAATATTTTCCGGCCACCGAGAGATCTCTGCTTCATAAAGGTCAACTCTCTCCTTTCTATCTCCAGCAAAAGTTTAATCACCAACATTCTATAAGCTGAAGCTAAGTCACTCCACCCTTTCCATTGCACAATATACACAGACCTGGTGTGCTTCTCCTCCCCCATCTCCAGTTACGCAAACTTAACCTCACAATCACAACCCCCTCAGCCACCTTCATTTACACCTACCGACCTCACTTTTCCTATCAAGACTGATGCAGTAAATGATGTCTTAAAAACTGTCTAGTAGTAGTAATTATGGTACGGAAATTTGATGATGTCAAAGGAATAGTAAAAGCAGTTATTAAAGCTGCGTGGACAGCTTAAAAGTCAGTCTAGAAAAGTCAAGTGTCATAAATAGTTGTATCAAAAAGGGACAGCACTCTTTTTTTGTTGTAACAAGTTTTAATAAATATATCCTTGAGATGTATCAGGTTATTCACTTTTCTTCCAGCTTTTCCCAGATTTCCTTTAGAAAGCTGGGCTCAAGCGGTGATTGGAGTAATTCTAGTCCATCTTACTGCCTCAAGGGGACTTTCTTTTCATTCTATTTGCTTCAAGTGGTATCATATCTGTGACCTTTTGCAGCTCTATGGCTGGACAAGGAAACAACCAAATGGGTAACCAAGAGAATGTAGAGACGTCTCAAGCACTAAATGTGGGAATTTGGCTACAAAAGAAGATTTGGAGAACCTGCAGCAGTAAAATAATCAGCTGTGCATTTACTGGGAAAATAAAAATAAAAATCAGTTGTGCACAAGGTTAGAGCAACCTGAAATCATTTGTCCTCTTAATCTGACCATTGGGAGACAAATGGGACATCAAATGAATGTATATCAATGTGGAAATCGGAGGAACCAACCAACCGTGGAAAGATTTCAGCAACTTGCAAAAGAATTTTTAGATGAAGAAGATTGAGTTTTACCATTTGCAAGGCGGCCGGTACTTAATCATAACATTCAGTAAGACCAAGATCCAGGTATTAAGGTGGAAATTCCAGATTTCACAGGCGAAGAGCAGCAAGAGGAAGTGACTAAATAAAGTCAAGAGGATTTTTAAGTACCATGATCTTCCCGATAATAAGAAGCAGAAATTGGTAGCTATGAAGTTGAAGGGATATGCATCTTCCTGGTAGCAGCGTGTTTCATTAACCAGAGTTGAATCAGTAAAGGTGCATGTTCAAACCGGGCAAAGATGCAAAGGATGATCTGAAGCTAATTCCTTCCATTAAACTACGAAGGAATTTTTTTTTTTTTTTTTTTTTTGATAAGTAAATTGTATTAAAAGCGTTCAAAAAGGGGAACGCGACCCAAACTATACAAAGACAAAACGGAGCCTATGAATTCAAAGAACTCATAAAGTCAACAATCTCCTCAAGAGAGGAGTAGTCTCTCCCCTGACCCCAACAAAACAAATAACAAATGATAGAAAATTTTAACACCCCAATGGAGGATTCCTTTCCTTCAAAAGATCTTCCATCACGCTCTCTCCAAAGGCTCCACCAAATACAAAAAGGAATCACCCTCCAAAAAATTCTGACCTGAGCCCCCACCCATTGGCCCCTCCACATATCTAACAACTCCCAAGATGTCCGAGGCATGACCCAATGAATACCAAACAGGCCAAACATCAAACTCCAACAATCATGAGCCACAGGACAGTGCAACAAAAGATGATCCACCGACTCCCCATTAATCTTGCAAAGACAACACCTATTAACAATGATATGTCTTCTCTTCCTCAAGTTGTCCAACGTCAAAATCTTACTCCAAGCTGCAGTCCACACAAAAAAAGCCACCCTAAGAGGCGCCTTAGACCTCCACACCGTCTTCCATGGGAATGAGGTACCATGAAAACCAGAAAGGCACACAAAAAAAGACCGGTCCTGGAACATCCCCCGAGAAGAAGGCACCCAAATCAAAGAATCTGCCCCAGACCCCTCCACCTCCTGTCCGTAAAGAAGAGCCAAAAACCCAGTGACATCATCCAGCTCCCAATCCTGAAAAGCTCGCCGGAAACGCACATCCCAAGACGACCTTTCACTATCAAGGCGATAATAGTCAGCAACCATTGCATGTTTGTCGACAGCAATCCTAAAAAGCCTGGGAAACAAAAGGGCCAAAGGCCTATCATCACACCATGGATCCTCCCAAAATCGGATAGTTCTTCCATCCCGAACTCTGAATCTAATATGTTTGGAAAAGGCATTCCAGTATTAGCAATCCCTTCAACAAGGCGCTCATTTAGGGAATACAAAAATGAGTGATGATAACTCAAGTACAGTTGGTTGAAACAGAAACACCGGTCATCCATTGTTATTTGATGGGGATTAACGCTAGGTATAAAAATCCTCATGGAATTACAACCTTGTTGGATCTTAGTAAGTGCTCTCCAATTGGCATTGAAGGTTAAAGCACAGCAAATCAGTTCAACCATCGTACAAATCAGTTCAGAAGGGGAAAACTGCAATTGGAAGCTGATCTTGGTCAAGAAAACATCACCAAGGAGGAGGGAACAGCAACCAATCTTATGTAGAAAAATAATTCAGTGACTAATGCCTATGGATGTGGTCAAGGCTGGGGACATGGAGCAACAAATACTAGTGACTAATGCCTATGGATGTGGTCAAGGCTGGGGACATGGAGCAACAAATACTGCAGCTGAGAGTAGCAGCACACCATTTCAGTCCATGGAAAACAACAATAATATGTTACTAGTGTATTAAAAAAGGTCACAAGTCCTCTGGTTGTCAGAAGGCAACTAGTAAGTTATTTATCAATGAAGCAAAAGATGAATCAAACAATACAGAGGATCAATCTGATGTAGCACAAGATAACGAATTTTGAAGAAAATGAAGTTGAAGATAGAGATCTTCCAAGTCTGGTACTAGGTCAAGCTATGTTGACACCAAAACAACTGGAAGATGATTGGAGACGAAACAGCAATTTAGAACTAGATGTACATCTCATGGACGACTTTGCAATGTCATTATTAACGGATAAATGAAGACAAGTCTGATTCTGACATTTTATTACAATTGGACTAAACTACGAATAAATCTGAAAACCCATTGAAAGTAAAGAATACGAACATAATTCCAGGAAAAAAAATATAAAATGAAGAAGAAGAAAAGAATGCAATCATATGGTTATAAATGGGCTCATATGCAAAGTTTTATCTACAATCGAGTAACCAAAAATATTTTCAAAATGACCAAAAATAGGAGCTTAAATTAACAAGATTAAGAAAGAATGAAATAGTGATTACAAATGGTAATAAATCAATGGTATCCCCTTCTATTCTGCATTTCAGAAGTTAAAAAAATCTCACAGCTCACCGTGTTGCCAGCTTTGTACAAAGTTGAAGTACGATGAATCTGCTAGAAGCTCAACTTTTACTCTTGGTTCCACAAAAATATCCAACTTTTTCTGCTCTTTCAACCACCTGACAATGAGGAAGAGAAACTAAGCATCTAGCAATACTGGCCCAAGATTCAGCCTCTCAAGTCAGAAATCATGTATAGTAGAAAAAATCTGACTCAACGGATCAATGAAAGCAAGTAAAATAATTAAGAATAGCAACGTATTCTTTAAACACTCGACTCCACGAGAAGAGATTGAGAAAAGCTCTCAGTTTTCTATATTAATAAAAGAGATAATTGATTCCTAAACTATTACAATAGCATGTATTTATAGGCCTCAGCAAATCCTAAACTATATAGGAAATTAAATCAATGGAAACCAACAGGCCACTAGACTAGAGGTACCAGGCACTTACTTCCCAAAAAATGGTCAAGGGTTCGAACCTCAGTGGAGGCATGTGTGTGTGAGTACCAACTAAGAACAAAATAAAATAAATAAATCAATGGAAACTTTCCTAAAACAAAAACAAAACTATTTAGAAAATTAAAACAAAAAAAACTTTCCTAAAACAGATACTAACTATTAGGAAATGAAAACAATGAAAACTTTCCTAAAACAGAAAATAAAAACTAGAAAAAAACTGTTCATGCACTGTTCTCATGTACTACATCATGCTCCCCTTCTTTAAAAGAACTCGCCCTCTTGTTCATCAGTGGTCGTCCTTGAATTTCATTGACGGTTCATCAGATATAAGTATGAACAAAATTTGATACCACTGATGACTTGAGCGATTTACAAATTCTAGCACCATCTGGGCAGACCCCAATTGTACCACATCTCGTGACTTATAGATTCTCACATTTTTTCTTGTTCAGAGAAAAACGGACGACCAATTCTAAAATTACTTTGGAATATACTGTGAATTTCATTAGAACCCACAACACTTTTCCCTCCACAGTGAGCCTGCATCAACTGGTTCCACCTAGCAAAAACAGTTTGGCCAATGATTACATCATCCTGCATGTGGACTTGCAAAAGCATGTTGTCAATAGCGTCCCATTTGTTCTTCACAGCATGCATCTTCCACAGTCAACAATAAAGACTTTTGCTTGTCACATCTCCAAAAAAAACATCATAACATTGCTTCATCATGCTGGCAATGTAAATTAGAAAGATGAATTTTGCAACAGCCTCCAGTTTCATCTTCCAAGGTCATACTTTCATGAAAAAATTAGGCTTCCCTTGGACAGCTGATTCCTTTTCCTTCCATTTATGATACCATAATACGAAGCCCAATAGAAGGTTTCTAGAAATAACCAACTTTTTCCTTTTAGCTGAATGGTCAACACAAGAGTCTTTTGGTACGAAATTTTCCCGCCACTTTTTCGAATAATCCTGCACCAATGGGTCTATGGCCTGGCAGGACCTTGCTCTCTACAGGAGCTTCAAGGGCGTTGCCCTGTATTCCGATTATGACCTTTGTGATTGAAGCTCCCTCTGGTGGTTTGGTAACCAAGATGCCAGGGGAAAACATTTGTTTAACATTTCTAGAAAAACCACCTATTTGTTCATTTATCGGATTCAGCACGAAGCCTTGAATAAGCTCTACCAAGGATTGCCAAGCATTTGGTACTGAGTTTCCTCCTCCTTTTAGTAACAAAATGAACCAAAGTACGACCAAACTAAGAGTTAGCAGCATAAACAAAGATGGCCAAAGTCCTATTGACCTAACAGCCTCAAATATTCTCCTACCAACACCCTTACACTGGGTAATGCCCTTTTACCTCGCATCAATTGTGGCACAAAAGAATGTGATGTTTTTAGAAGCCACTCCATGAATATAATATGTTGAATAATTTCACAAAGCCCAAGTCAATATTGAAAGGAACTTGTGGAAAAATCCAGCATTGCAAGATGTGAAAACTATACATTAAAAGCCACACCTGACCATTTCGGCACATAGAATTCGAACAGAAGTTGAATTCGGTTTGGTCAAAATAAGCACGGTCTGTGGCTGAGATTCCCACTTCAAGGAAATCTGAAATAAAATTTGAGTGTTCAATTAGACCATCTGTGAAGCATCATCATGCAGAGTCAAAATTAAGCTAAACAGAAAATTTTATTTACATTATCAAGTATAAAGATCAAGAGTCACACAAACTTTCAAATCGGTAGCATTAACCACTGGCATGACTCACAAGTTGCCGAACAAAACAGAAAAACTTAAAGCGTTTACAGAAGCAGTAATACCTGTTTACTGCTGCGCTCTGCAGTTGTTATATTTCCCCTTTCAAAAGAGACAATGTCATGCTTATGCTGATCAGTTTTATCACCTTTGCAACACCATGATAGCTTAAATGAAGCCTGTCTCAGAATATAAAGTGTCAATAACAGTTCAATCTAGGAACATCACTATCCCAAAACATAAAAGATTCACAAGTAATTATGTATACAGCTGAACTTAGTAAAAACAATTTTTTTATTGTTTTGAGACTGCCTCTTAACTACAGTTAAGGAAGAGAAATAAAAATTATATCCTGTCAATAGTAATAACACCCTGCCACAACAAATAAACTAAATAAAAAACAAAAGCCACAACACTAACCACCACAAAAAGCTGTCTAAAATCACAATATTAGCTGTCTAAAATCACAATATCTCACACCACATACACTCTGAATATACAGCTTGAACACTAGCCATAGCTCTGGGAACATCAAATAATGAAAATAACCGGTAATTGTTTCCAAAACTTTACAAGGATATCATTGAAATGAGCAATTTTTTAAAAACCAAAATAATGAGAAGGAAACTCATGCATCTGATCAATAAGCACTTCACTATAATTTTTTTTGATAAGTTAGCACTTCACTATAATGAGCCAGTAATTCTGTTAATAGGGTGACCCAATAGAAACTACCTTTCTCATAAACCTATCTTCAACCACATTGGAGATGGAATCAGGTTCTCCATCCCGGAGAACCTCGTGGGAGCAAATTCCGTTTTTTCCACAACACTTTTCGGATTGTTCATTAGCTTGATTGGACAACACAGGTTGATTTTCCCACTTGTCAGCCCTCTCATCATTAAAATTACTGTTCTGCTCTTCAGACGACAGTGCTGTACACAGTCCAGTAAATTTTGTGGTAAGTATATATACACATAAAAAATTTAAAGAAGTTGATGAAAAATCCGAATTCAGACAGAAATTTTGAACTGGGCTTATTTACAGTTACATATATTTATATTTTTCTATATAAAGATAAGATGTAAACTTTGTTAAGAAAGGGAGAGGAGGGGGGAGTAACTAGTTATGGTTATGCAAGGGAAATCAGGATACAATGCTAAAACCCAAGCAAAAACCAAAAACAAAACAAATGATGTTAGAAGATATATAGGGGAAATATGTGAAGACTAGAACGAGATTATTAACTCATTCACAGCTCTGGTATTTATATATTAAATGAGCACATTTTAAATATTTCAGAAAAGGAAACCAAATAAAAAGTCAAATCCACGATTCTAGGCTAAAATATCAAATCCTATGATTCTAGGTTAACATATCTCTGCTAACACTTCCCCTCAAGTTGGTGCGTGAATATCTAAGTTGCCCAACTTGGACATTGCATCCTCAAACACGGGAGGAATAACTGGTTATGGTTATGCAAGGGAAATCAAGATGCAAAAACCAAAAACAATAAAAATTGTGCTAGAAGAAATATAGGGGAAATGTGTGAAGGCTAGAACGAGATTATTGACTCATTCCCAGCTCTGGTATTTATATATTAAATGAGCACAAAATATTTCAGAAAAGGAAACCAAATAAAAGTTCAAATCCACGGTTCTAGGCTAACATATATCTGCTAACAACTCCCCTCATGTTGGTGCGTGAATATCTAAGATGCCCAACTTGGACAATGCATCTTCAAATACGAGAGGAAAAATTAAATATGGTTATACAAGGGAAATCAAGATGCAATGCTAAAACCCAAGCAAAAACCAAAAACAACACAAATGGTGTTACAAGAAATATAGGGGAAATATGTGAAGGCTAGAACAAGATTATTGACTCATTCACAGTTCTGGTATTTATATATTAAATGAGCACATCTTAAATATTTCAGAAAAGGAAACCAAATAAAAAGTCAAATCCACAATTCTAGGCTAACATATCAAATCCTATGATTCTAGGCTAATATATCTCACCTAACCCTTCCCCTCAAGTTGGTGCGTGAATATCTAAGATGCCCAATTTGGATAATGCTCAAACACGATCTGGGTCTTACTGACATCCTTCATAAGGATGTCAGCAAGCCGCTAAGAGCTAGTGACAAATGAAGTGTCAGTCAACCTCTATATGCTTTGTCACATCTCGAATGAAGTGTGGGTCAACCTCTATATGTTTTGTCATGTATTGTTGAAAGGGATTTGCTGCAATGTTGGGATGATGTCCCCATCTGACTGAAGAGTTGATGGAACTTGTCCAAATCAACCCGAGCCAAGGTAATTGAAGCAGAGGATGAAGAGGCAGAGATGTGACAAAGCATCCGACGATAAAATAAAATGTGAGAGGATCGAGGCAACTGTTGTCTCTATTGCAGTAGGCATCCATGCAGTACAGGGGGAGACTACTATACAGTTAGAGATTCCGTTGTCCAGTCAGAGGGAATGCCCGCTTCCTTTGCTTGTTCCCATTCAGGGGGAGCTTCTTACTAAGGTGCCCATGTCTAGTCCTCCTAACACTAACGATTTGTAGTAGGGAAAGCAGCCAATTGTCTACAAAGGAGAGCAAAACAAGTTATTGACTCACCCTAGGACCAAGAAGTCCCTCGATCCAGGTAATTCCTTAGTTGACATTGATACTCCTAATTATTTTCCCAATAGTATTCATGTTGATCTTGATGTCCCTATTGCCTATCGTAAGGGTGTTCATAGTTATACAAAACATCCCATATCTCATTTTGTATCCTATAATGCCTTATCTCCAACATATCGTGCTTTCACTTCGTGTATCTCCTCTGTATCTGTTCCCTCTAGTGTTTCAAATGCTCTCAGTCAAACTCTATGGAAGAAAGCTATGCTCGAAGAAATGAAGCCCTTGAGAAGAATGGTCTTTAGGATATTGTTCCATTACCTGGGGGGAAGAAACCAGTACGCTACAAATGGGTCTACACAATAAAGTATCCTACAGACGGAACAATTGAGAGATATAAAGCTCGGTTAGTTGCAAAAGGCTTCACTCAGACCTATGGAATTGATTATCAGGAAACATTTGCTCCAGTTGCCAAGATGAACTCTATATGTGTTCTTCTTTCTTTGGCAGCTAATTTGAGTTGACCCTTATATCAGCTGGATGTAAAGAATGTTTTCCTTCATGGTAACTTGGAAGAAGAGGTATATCACTATGCCACCAGGGTTTAAGCTTGCCAATGGTCATAATTTAGCGTGCAAGCAATAAAGCCTTGTATGGATTAAAGCAGTTGCCATGTGCTTGGTTTAAGAGGTTCAGCACTGTTGCGAAAAGAGTAGGGTACACACAGAGTCAGGCAAATCATACTCTCTTCATCAAGAAGCACCAGGCTACACCGCTGCCCTTATTGTATCTGTTGATGATATTGTTATCATTAGAAATGATCAAGCAGAGATTCGTCGAATGAAGTCATATTTAGTGCCAGTGTTTGAGGTTAAAGACCTTGGATCATTGAGATACTTTCTGCAGCAAGGTGTGCAGATCGAAGAAAGGGGTATTCATTTCCCAATGAAAGTATGTGTTAGATTTGTTAGCTGAAACAGACAGGCTTGGAGCTAGACCAATTGATATTCCTATTGAGCAGAACTATAGGCTTAATGATGTAGATGGAGACCCATTAGATGATGTGGAAAGATTTCAGCGATTGGTTGGGAGACTAATTTACTTATCTCTCACGCGCCCGGATATTGCCTAGTGTGATTAGTCAGTTTATGCATGCTCCACGTACACCTCACCTTGAGGCAGCTTATTATGTTCTTCGCTACCTCAAGGGTTCACCTAGTAAGAGGATATTATTTGGCAGTCATGGCCACTTGCGTGTTGAAGCCTATACTAATGCTGATTGGGCAGGGTCTATGACAGATCGACGATCTACTTCAAGATATTGCACATTTGTTGGATGTAATCTTGTTTCTGACAGGACAAAGCATATTGAAGTCAATTGACACTTCATCAAGGAAAAGGTTCGCCTTGGGCTGATTTGTACTCCATACGTCAACACACATGATCAGGTTGCTGATGTATTGACTAAGGGTGTGAGCAAGACTTGTTTGCAAATTATGTTAGTCAAGCTGGGCATGATAGATATCTTTGCACCAGCTTGAAGGGAATGTTGTCAGGGGCTATTTGTTATTACTTATATAATGTTGGGGCTTATATGTAAATTCTGAAACTTGTTATTATAAATAGAATGTGGTGGAAGAATGAAAGTATTCTTTCATTCTCTTTCCCCATCTCTCTCTGTTTCTCTCATCCGCTTTCTTCTCTTTTTCTTTTTCTTCTTTATCACTTAATCTTGATTTGATTATATCTTAAAGTGAACACAAAGAACAATGCATCCATCCTTCTTTTCTTTTATTTATTTATTTTTGTCACATGTGTCATATATATATAAGCAGGGTGCAAAATTCAAAGGGAAATTTACCGTGACCTCCCGGCCTCCCCTAAGTTTTTTCTTTGCACCCACATATTAAACTTTAGTCAAAATGTTAGTCAACCTCCGATAAAGCAATGATAAAAATACAATTAGCTCGTTGATCCCTAGTTGTCAGTTAAGGCTGTGAAATATTTTTATGTGATGCCAATATGTCCCTTCGTTGATGAATTGCGTGCATACCCTTATTAATCATTTTTAATGATGAATTTATCCCTTTATGGTATGCTTAGATGAATTTAATCATACCGATAATAATTTATTTTATTAAATATATAACTAAAAATTATATATATAATATAAAATTAAATGTGCATTTAATTTGCAAGCTTTAAAATTAAATATATATACATATATACACACACACATTATTTTGCAAGTTGTAAAATTTTAAAAAAATTGTGAACTTATACGTTTTATACCTATATAATTTTATATGGTGTAAAAATGTTGCAAAGCATAGACATATAATTTCTCTTCCAATTTGGACCACCACCATTCACCAACACCTTTTCATCAGTTGTTTCTGCCACCACCTTCTTCCATCACAACACCTCCAACAACCCCCACCGCCACACCGCCCGAGGCTTGATGGTTGTGGCAGAAGTGGTGTTGTGTTATTGTGGTCGTTCAAAGGATGGCTGATGGTACTCAAAGGGGGAAAAGGGAGAATAGAGAGATGGAGTGAGGAATGGTGAACTTACTTCTCCTTCAACAAGGAAATAAATCTTTGAATGAGTATTACAATGCATAGATCTTTGAAATGAGTATTACAATGCCTTTAAGGGAATGCTGGATGGGTTCAATCACTATCATCTCCTTGTTCATGACAATGAAATTTTGGAAAGAAAAAAAAAATAACATGAAGATTTTGTGTCTAATTCTTATGCGGACTTAATTTCTCCCTTAGTCAATTAGAGGTCATATTTTGGCAGATGGTGGTGGTATTCCTCAAGTAATACGTGTTTCAGGCCACTTCATGCTTTGAGTGGATCTTAATCGTCTTCTTTAGTCATATGGGAAGAGAGAACTCTGCTTTAATCAGTTTAGCTGGTCGATAGAATTTTTCCGAGACTGAAGTACTAGTAACAGGGGCCTTAGATAATCTTATGATGGTTTTAGATAGAAGCATAATGTTTTTATGGTGGTATAAACCATGGTCGAGATTGGACGAGGACATGGTTCATGGCAAAGGTAAATATATACACTGTGGAGACTCTCATACTGCAGATAAATGTTATAACATAAGAGGCAAACCATGTTTAATCAAACTAGTAATTCTTTACATTAAGACTAGTCCTTTAATGCTTTAGAGTTCCAAGTTCTTATACTAGTGATTCTGTGACACTATCAACCAAGACATATAATGATTTAGTCCAATGCTAGAGTCCAACAGCAACAGCCTATCGATATAGCTAACTTTGTCTACGCACATAA